CTACTACTACTACTACTAGTAGTGCGGCTACTGCGACTGCGACTACGACTACGACTTCTGCTACCAGTTACTGCTACTTTTACTTGGCTTGAGGTTGTTGGTTTGAGTACGCTGGCAGCACCCAACACGACATAATGCTGTTGATGATGATGATGATGATGATGAAGATGATGGAGGTGATGGAGATGATGATGATGATGATGATGACGACAACGACTCACGTAACAACAACTTTTCTTCATGCAGCGACGACGATGCCGGCTACCGAGCCCATCAGCTGAAACCACCACCCCCCCACCACTACCACCAATACGATAAACATCGCGACCCCTCTTCCACCTGTTGCTCTGCCTCATGCCAAACCACGAAGTTCAACGTTTAAACAAGTAGGGAATCTTGGTGCGGATGATCTTGGTATTGGGATGGGGTTTCTTGCACGCAGCCGTCTCTGGTTCAGGGATCCGGAGAATCCGGTTATTAAGAGTCGATATTAGGGCCGCTATTGATCGAAACTTTCAGATGTTTCTGCCTCACTGCCAGGATGACACAAGGATGATGTTGGTCGCAACGAAGGTTGCTTGGCTCGGAGTTCATGGTGCGTTCTGCGAGGAGTTTAGGTTTCAGGGGTAAATGTAGGGCAGGGGTGTGAATGGTTAGTGATCGTATCCCCTTTTAGTCCCTATGTGGTTTTGATGCCATAATCTATGCTGTAAAGATTTCCTCAGTTGACCCTGAAACGTTTCCCCAACATTACAAAATGCCTTGGAACCTCAAGACCTTGTGGCCTACAGTTTAGGGTTGAGGGTTCAGGGTTTAAGGGCTTAGGACATAGGGCCGAGACCAACCAAAACCCTAAAACCCCTAACCCTAAACCCTTAACCCCAAACCATATACCCAAAACCCTAAACCCTAAACCCTGCACTGAAGCCTAAAGCAAAAAAGGGCCGAAGCCTTGAATCCACGGCTTCTGGGTCAGTCTCTCTCTCTCTCTTCTCTCTCCTTCTCTCTCGTTTAGGGTTTAGGGTTTAGGGTACCAGAGATAGATAGATAGATAGATAAGCAGATTAGGTTAGGTTAGATTAGACTATTAGATTAGATTAGATTAGATTAGATTAGATTAGATTAGATTAGATTAGATTAGATTAGATAGATAGATAAGTAGATTAGATAGATAGATAGGTAGATAGATAGATAGGTAGCTAGGTAGATAGGTAGGCAGGTAGCTAGGTATCTATACGTACATGTACACATACACGCAATGTCCATACTGCTTGTTAAGGGCGTTAAAGTTCTTAAGCTGCAGGACTGGAGTTTTTCTCGCCGCAGCTCGAAGCCCCCCTAAAACAAAAAGAAATCCGACATCGTCCTTGGGTGAAGGTTCAGGGTTTAGGGTTTAGGGTTTAGGGTTTAGGGTTTGCAAGGTTTATAGTTTAGCCTAGGGCCTAAATCTAAGCCCCACACTTCTCACCCAGCACCGCGTCTAGGCTTACGCCCAAGGCTCCAAGATAGCTAACCCTAAGGCTCCATGCGCCTATATAGTACATACTTAGGCCTTCCCAGAGAACCCAATACGCCTTAATTAAGGCTTATACCTTAGATGATGGGGCCTTTATTTTTATGATTTCAGGCATATTCCTCAAGTAGGGGGTGTTGGGTTCTTTGGGTTGAAGTAGCTATATAGCAACCCCATTAGTTTAAGGCCTAAGTAAAGACTGTATGGGTACGTGGAGCCTCAGGGTCAAAAAACCTTGCGGCAGCATCACCCTTTGGACCCAAAAGCGTTCCGAAGAGAGTCTAATGTAGGGCCTTAATCATTAGAATAGGGTGTCGGGGTATATTTTGCCACAATTATAATCAAGAACCCCCCCAAAATATTATAGGTAATTATTAGGGCCCCTATATTGGGGCTGAGGGTTTTGTTCAGAATCCGACTTGAAAAAGACATCCTGGAGAAACCCCGAACAAGCCCTGGGCGTCCGATGTCTTGAGGCTGCAAAGTTCTTCGGCCAGTGCAAATCCTTTGCTGATTACAACTACAGTACGGACCCCAAGACAGGCGCGCCGCGGGTGTTCAACGGTTGTAAGGCGGCTTCGAACCTTTGTAGAAGGTTTGTACCAAGGTGAGAACTGTGGTCTTGTGGAATGTTCCGTTGGTCCTTGAGAGTTTTGGAGCTTTTCCCCTGCTCGCTCAGGTTCCCTAGTGCAATTAACTTGAGTTGCTAGCTGCTTGTGATATCCTTCCTACATCATCAGAGGCTGTGTGCAGGTAAGTAAGGTGTAAGTAAGTATGTACATACGAACGAATGACTGTATGTATGTATGTATGTATGTATGTATGTATGTATGTATGTATGTATGTATGTATGTATGTATGTATGTATGTATGTATATATGGGTGGTTGTCAAAATTAGGGTCCCGTTTTGGGTACCCTAAATATTAGGTGCCGTATTATATTACGGACCCAAAAAGGGACCATAATTTTGACAACCACCCATAGGTATGTAGTATAGTATCCTGTAGTACAGGACAGTATGGTACAGTTTTCCGCAGACTAGTGTGAATTAGAGGGGAAGACTATTACTAAGCTGGCTGCCTTTGAGTGCTTTCCTGCTGGCCTGATGGGATGGGGGTGGGTACAGGCTGTGCTTGTGCTGTTGGTGCTTGTTTTTCCTGTTCTGGCGGGCAAATATACTATTTAATTGGTCTGGCCATCACAATCAAGCCTTATCCAACTGTAATGTCGAACCCTCTCTGATTCAATTGAATCGGTCAACTAAACACCGGGGTGGAGTATGAGACAACAAGCACCAGCGATTGGCCTTCCCACACTCGATGTGCAAGTCCTGACAGCTTTGAGAGAGTATCGTTGAAGTTCCTAGTGGCTGAATTGCCATACACCTTAGGCAAAAATCTGAAACCGATGTCAAAAACTTCTGCGGATGTGCGCTGGTGGACGGTTCCCAAACTTCCAACTCCTCTTGAGTTCCAGATGTTGGGAGTGATGTACAGTAGTGTTTTGGGTACCCAAATGTGTCAAACGAATCCTAGTTTAGATAACCACCCACTAGTGTCATGTATGACATCAACAGCAGTCTGCCGTACTGAGTACTGATGTAGTTCAGATTCCTGCACCCAAAAACATCAAACCCCTGCGTCCTACACGCCAGCTCTAGACCTACTTAAACCCTAAACCCTGAACCCTAAACTCCTAAACCCCAAACCCTAAACCCTAAACCCACAAAGCCCAAAACGGTCAATTCTCAAAATCCTGAATCCTGAACCCGAACCTTTCAACTCCCCAACCCACAACCCCCACCCCGCCCCGGAAACAACCTTCAAAGAAAATGACACCCCTGGAAGGCCCTACACCCTAAACCCTTGAACCCCTCAACCCTAAACCCCAAAGCCCCTCAACCCCCAACCCTAAACCCTAAAACCCTAAAACCCTAAACCCCCACACCCTACACCCTCAACCCTAAACCCTAAACCCTAAACCCCAAACCCCAAAGCCCCTCAACCCCCAACCCTAAACCCTAAACCCCTAGAAGGCCCTTGAGCCCTAAACCCTTGTAGTAGTCCTTATAGAACCCTTTAAGGAACCCTTCAAAAGGAATCCCCAAAACCCTATTCTAGTCATTAAGGCTCCTACAACCCTAAACCCTAAACCCTGAATCCTAAACCCCTAAGCCCTAAACCCGAAACCTCTAGACCCCAAACCCCTAGAAGGCCCAAAATAGAGCCCTGAACATCGAACCCCTCCTTGTGCGAGTCGAGGAAGGTAAACCAAAGGTTTCGCCCGTGCTTCGGCAGGCAACGCGAGAGGAGGCTCCTCGGACGGTTTAGGGCTTTTAGGGTTTGAGGGCCGTCGGGCTTTAGGGCTTAAGCTTTAGGGTTTAGGGTTTAGGGTTTTAGGGTTTGGGGCTTTTTTGCGGGCGCAACAGCCTTTCACACATCTGCGGGTTGTTCCATTTGAATAGGGCTTTCGGGTTTAGGGCTTTAGGGCTTTAGGGTTAGAGGGTTTAAGGTTTGGGGTTTTGGGGTTTAGGGCTTTAGGGTTCAGGGCTTTAGGGTTAGAGGGTTGCGGGTTTGGGGTTTTAGGGTTTAGGGTTCAGGGCTTCTGTTTGAATTGGGTTTTTTGTAAAAAAAAACCTAGGGCAGTCAGCAATCCATAGAAAGCCCCCAAGCCCAATTATACACCCCCTACACCCCAAGCACTGAACAAACAACAAAACTCTCAACTCCAAATCCTAAGCCCGGATCCTCGACCCGAAACCGACGAGGTAAACAAAAAAAGACATATAACCTTGAAGGAACCCTGTTACCCTAAACCCTAAACCCCAAACCCTTCTTACACCCTTCCATTTCTCCCAGGGCTCAGCAAGCCCCGGGACATGCTAAGAAAGAGCAGCGCCGAGTAGATGGCGCAGGCCATGCCACCAAGCCTGTTTAGCGTGTAAGGCCGTTTAGGGTCTAGGGTTTAGGGTTTAGGGGCTTTGGGTTTAGGGTCTAGGGTTAGGGTTTGGGGGCTTACGGTTTCGGGTCTAGGAGGGTTTAGGGTTTAGGGGCTTTGGGTTTAGGGTTTAGGGCCGTTTCGGATCTACTTAAAGGACCGTGGCACTTAGCAACTAGGGTTTTTAGGAAGGTAACCTGACTTACTAAATCCCATGATCATTATCCTCCATATAGGATTTTGCGGATTAGGGAGTCTACCTTAACCTTCGGTTGGTTCTGATTAGAAACCAAAAATAAGGAACTTATAGGAACCCTACAAACAAGTAGGCTTTGGAAGGTGAGGCAGGGCTTTAGGGCTTGGGGTTGAGGCTTTGAGGGGCCTGAGCGGCTTTAGGGGCTTCAAGGGTTTTAGGGGCTTTAGGGGCTTTAGGGGCTTTAGGGGCTTTAGGGGCTTTAGGGGCTTTCGGGGCTTTAGGGTTTAGGGTTTAGGCTTTAGGGTTTAGGGGGCTTTAGGGCGTAGACTTTAGGGTTTCGGGGGCTTTAGGGCTTTGGGCAGACTCTTTGGCTGCCTTCAGGGCTCGTCTTCGTCTTGGGGTTCCTGAACTTGGAAAGGAGACCCTAAACCCTAAACCCTAATTCCTTTAGGGGTGGTAGGAGCCTCGGTCATCTCCTTGGGTCCAGGTATGAGGGTCTTAGATTTTTTTATTCAAAGGTCTAGAAGGGCTGTTTGGGTTCAGGGTTTTAGAACCTTTTACAAAGGATCTAGAAGGGGTTTAGGGTCTTAGAATTTTTTTACAAAGGGTCTAGCAGGGCTGTTTGGGTCTAGAGTTTGGGGTTTAGGGTTCAGGGTTCAGGGCGGGTTCGCGGGTTCAGCAGTCTAGAGGTGCTTGAGGGCTTCGGGCTTGGGCGCCTTTTTGGCTGAGGGGTTTCGGAGTTGCGGGTTTTGGGAGAGAAATCCCGAAACCCACTAAGCTTACAACCGTAAACCCCTAGACGTAAACCACGTAAACACTAAACCCTCCCCGGAACTCTACAAGTTTCAGCTCACACCCCAAACCTTGAACATCCAAACTGTGATGTAGGGACCTTAATAATTAGGACAAGGTCTTGGGCTCCTTGACACTATGGCATACTAAACCCTAAACCCTAAACCCTAGACCCTAAACCCTAAACCCTAAACCCTAAACCCTAAACCCTAAACCCTAAACCCTAAACCCTAAACCCTAAGAAGGAACCCTGAGAGCTACCATTGGTAGTTTTTTAGGCTGTGCTCCGATCCTTCAGACCCAACCCCTCTAAACCCTAAACCCAAAGCTCCGCCGCACGCGAACCCTTGCAAAATCCTCGGTTTAGGGTTTAGGGTTTAGGGTTTAGGGTTTAGGGTTTAGGGTTTAGGGAAGGATGTTATGAGCAGGAAAATACACCGACATTCCAAAGAAGCGAGGTAGACACTCACCAAAGGCCCCAAACACAGACAGATCCAGCCCGGCAACATTCCCAGCAGCCCCGAAATTGCCGTAAACTTGTCCTGCGAAGACCCCCCTAAACCCTAAACCCTAAACCCTAAATCCGAAACCCCAAATCCTAAACCCTTAACCCTAAACCCTAAATCCGAGACCCTAAACCCCGAAAGGCTGCCCGGACCTGGCGAAGAAGATAGGCCAGCTAAACAGCATCACAGCATTGGGGTACCTTTTGGGGCTCAGAGCTTACGGGGTTTAGGGAAACGGGGTTTAGGGGTCTAGGGTTTAGGGTTTGGGGCTTAGGGTCTAGGGCTTAGGGTTTAGGGTTTAGGGTTTAGGGTCCGGTTTAGGGTTTAGGGTTTAGGGTCTAGGGTTTTAGGGTGGGGTTTACCTGGAGGATCATGGGACTTAGCAAATAAATTGTAAACCGTGGTTGAAAGTAATAAGTACAGCTACCCCATGGATAGCCCTAGTTACTGAGTCCCATGGATCCTTCAAGTGGGGCTCAGGGTGGAGGGTTTGCGCATTGGGATACCTCGTAGCGCTTTGCGGCCGTTCAGCGGCTTTCGAAATCGAGACAGGGTTGAGAGGGGTTTAGGGAGTTTAGGGTGTAGGGTTTAGGGTTTAGGGTTTAGGGTTTAGGGTTTAGGGTCTAGGGTCTAGGGTTGAGGATAAGGCGGTTAGGGTGCAGGCTTGGGGAGAAGGTTCCGGGGAGATCAAGCCCCGAACCTAAACCCTAAACCCTGAACCCTAAACTTTAGGGTTTAGGGGACCCTAAAACCCCAAAATCCCTAACCGAAAAGAACTGAAAGCCTAAATGCACGGCGCTGCTTGAACCACCGGGCCCCTGGAGGCAGAATTCCTTTTCATTTTCGGAACAGTATCTGGGGCTCATGGTTGCGGCAGTCTTTTCTGTTTATGGCTTGTGGGGTTTAGGGTTTAGGGT